GGAGAGAGAGAGATGGAGGGAGGAAGAGAAAGCAAGCTAATTACCTCCCTTCTACCAAAAAAAATTTTTTTAATTTTTTTAAAATTTCCCCTTAGATGCTACTGTGCAGCCAGGGTTAGAAACTACACCCAAAAGCACCTTGCCTGTCAGTCCACAACTACTTTTGGAGAATAAGATATTTTGTAACAGGGAGGGAATACTGAGTTCCCATTTTTCTGTTTGCTTCTGTCAGCCCTAAATCCTGCCCACCCTTTAGGTCTGATAATGCCTCTTTGATCATTGGAAAGACTGCTATAGTCACACCTTTGGTGAAGGGAATCAGTCTACAGAGCCTGTTGACTCACCTGTTATCAGCTGATAAGCCTATGCCTCTTGCTCAGAATATCAAATAAAAGACAGTGGCTAAAAGAGATATCTACCTCCTTTGCGAGCAGTTCCTCTGGTTACTTATCTATGGAGAAGGATTAGAATCCCAGGTGGTAGACTCTTCCAGATGGAAAGGAAGTTCAGATCACCGCCATGCATCTCCATGGTCATTACTAGACATAGGGGATTTCTAACAATGAGCAGTCGAGAACATTTCCACTCATTTCCTGGCAGCTGCCCCCATCACAGCTCCCACCCCCGGAAGAACCCCCCCAAGAGGTCTCCAAAGCAGGGAAGAGCTTGGTTTATTCATCCAGGTCCAGAGTTATGGCTCTGGCAGTAGCCTCACAGATATAAAACAGTGTTCTGTCTTTGTCCAACCACAGGCTAAAAGAAACTGGTAGGAGTGAGGTGGATGGAGATACTAAAAAATAAAAAAGAGCCCAGGGTCAGGGTCAACCCCTGGTTCAAAGGAAGAACTAGTGTTCATCAGAAATCCAGAGATCAAGAGACAGCAGGATCCCTTGTCATGCAAATCTGACCCAGCAGGGGCAAGAGGGCGTCTGACAGCCTGAGGCAAAGGCTGAGCAAGACAGGCTGGCTAGGGCTTCAGTACCCAAGGGCTCCTGTGGCAGAGCAGCAACTCTCCACATCCGGTAAGCCCACAGTGTTTTCACCTCCCCCTTGCCACATCGCCAACCGTTCTAATCAGCGATGTCAGGGAAGACCACGTACCTCAGCCATAGCATATGTGTGATATGTTTTTAGGCACAAATAGGAAAACCACTCAATTGAAGGAGATTCAATGACTCCATCCTTACCAAGAGTCTAGGATAAGTGTAATTTTATAGAATGAGGAAGAGATATTCTTTATACTACTTGGTTAATATTGTCTATTTGTTTGGTTGTTTGGTTGGTTGGTTGGTAGGCTGGTTGGTCAGTTGATTGGATTTTGGTTGTTTTAACCAGATGCCTTGCCAGGTGCTTCTCAAAAGGGATAAATGATTTTGTTCTCCGAATAGTCTATGGCTTAACACAGCAGAAGAGCAGTTTTTAAAGCCTCTAACAGGTTCCTGAGTCAATTTGAAGTTCATAAGAGACCCATGGGGACAAGATGGAAGAAAAGTCAAGTCCCTTCCTCCTCTCATATGTCCAGTTTTCGTGTGGCAACATCCAAAAACAGAAGAGCCCTGAGGATATTTCCTGAAGGCTGGGGCTGCCCCACAAATGTCCTCTCCATAGCTATCCTGAAACACAGGCTTATAGTTTAATTGTGTGTGTTAAAGAGAACAAAAATGACACTATGAGCTACTGTCAGAAAGTCGTTCTTCTGTGATTACTTTAGCCAAGGTACTCCTGAGGGGAAAAGAAATTTGAGGTTCAGGATTTCCAATGAAAAATATAATTTTCCCAGGGTGTAAGCTGCTTGAAGACAGAGATTATTTCTTATGAAACTTTTTTCCTCCTACAGCATCTGGCAAAAGATTTTGCAGAAAATTTGAGCTTAATAATACTTGATGAGTGAATGAATGAGCGTATGAATATGTTAACATGAGAGAACACTAACATGTGCTGGGTGAATATACAAAGGCATAAATGCATACACAAGTGGACGACACATGCTTGCATTTGTTAATGAGGGACTGGACGGGGTGTCTGTTCCCATATCCTGTGAGGCCAGCAAAGCCATTCAGCAAGGCTTTGGCGAACACACCAGAGCCCTCTTATATTAGGAATGGATTCAAAGGCCATTCTAAGGCCATGAGGAGTTCCCTTCACCTTACTGGGGTCACTGTGGCTCCAGCATCAGAACTCAGCTGCAAGCCCAAGAAGCCAATGTTAATCAATACTCCCTGGAACGAATGGTCAGATCCTGGAGGATTGCTCCACACCGTAAGCCAACACATTTTCCCAGGAATATCGTTGTTAATAGGACCAAGACTGATGGTGGATACTTACAGAAGTCTCTTCCTAGCAGAGAAGCAAAGTTAAAATCAGAAGTTTATTTAGGGAGAAGAGAGTCAGAATCAAATGAATGGAGGTGAATGGCACGGAACAGAGTAGCTGGATACCACATCTACACACAGGGAGATGCCTGGCGAGAAGGTTGCCAGGGCCTCCATTCCTCAGACACTGCAGAAACTCTTTAACAAATTCTGCATGATCTACCTCTTCTTTTTTTGATATCTTTCATTGATTACCAATCCTTCCATCATGACAAATTGCTTTGTGATACATGCCTTAGAGTGAATAAGCAGGCAGCTCCCCTGATACTGGCCATATTTGAGATGGAAATCTTCCCAAAGAGACTGGAGAGAATCCCTTCCAGGGGTCCCTTGTCCTGAGAGTCACATTTATAATTAATCTCCTGGGACAGGTACTTCCCTGAGATGACTTTTGGAGAATATTCCTTTATACATTCCTAGCATCCATTTCAGAGGATGACATTTGATGGCGAGTCTCCAAGTTTGGAGGATACATTCTGTTAGGAGCTTACAGATCCCTGTACCTTGATGGCAGCTAGAACTCAGCCTGTTTTTCCAGGATAAGACACCTCAGAGCAGTGTACTATAATGGGACAAGAACGATTTTGAGACAGTCTGGATTGACCCCCAGGTCTGCTTTTCCCTTGATGTCTTCCTTTGGGCAAGTTACTTAACTTCTGAGTCTCAATGTCTTCAATTATAAAATAGAAGTAATAATATTTCCTACATTGCAAGGAGGGTATGTGCATTAAATTTTTTAATGTCTGAAAAGTCCCTAATAGCTTTCAATTAAAAGTAGCAATTGGCTGCAAAAGTGTTGAAAGGATTTAATAGGACAACGTTCTTCAAGCCCTCAGCATAAATACCTGCAATCCAGTGATGCACTAAGTGGTAACACAACTATAAGAATACTTAGGAAGTTGTTTGTAAGCTGTTACAGCCTTTGAGATCTTGGGACACAGGGATTCTAAAATGATGAATGGAGGCACCTCCATCTGACCTTGTTCAAAATTCACACAAAATTTGGCAAATTAAAGCTGATCTAATTCCTAAAAAAAATAAAAATAAAAATAAAGTAGCAATTGTCTGTGACAACTAGGCGTTTTCTGCTTTGCTTCCCATGGTTCTTCAGTTCTGCTCTACCAGAACTACCCACACTAGGGTCTTTCCCTCTGGAAGACCCAAGAATGCATTTGTCTTCCTTTGTAAAATTCATTGTGCTTATAGTGGACATGTTTAATGACAATCTTTCCCCACTTTGGCATAAGCTCCAAGAGGGCAAAGACCAGCTGATCTGTTAATTACTGTCATCCCTATGCCTAGTCAGGGGGGCTCAGTAAGAAACTGCTGAGATGAGTCACTGCACTTTAAGGATGCTCTAGAAATCACTTTGGAAATATCTGGAAAGGAAGTCATTGCAGGAGAGCCCCAGAAGGATGTATTGCTTCCATTGATTCCTGGAAAGGGAACTGCTGATAAACTGTAGTTGGGCTAAAAGGCCTGTGAGCAATATAGTAGTCCTTATACATATATATCCCAAAGCCTACAGCTCCCCATGAACTTAGTAGTCCCTGTGGAAAGAGGCAAAAATTACAGTGTTCTTGGTTTACCACCTAGAGACCTTGCTGCATTATATGTTGTTAATGAATACTGGGTTTTTCTGAAGTGGACACAACTCTATGAAGCATTGAGCCCCAATGGAAAGCTAGAGAAGAAAAATGTTTGGGTTAAAAGTCAAAGCAACACAGTTTTACTATAGATTCTATCAATAATTTTTAATATTACCTTAGTCAAGCTGTTTCCCCTTCTTGGACCCCAGATTAGCAAGTTTTAAAATGAGGAAATGAAATAGCTAAGTTCCATTGGCCCTCCCAGCTCCAACAGTCCATAATTTTCTCATTCTACAGACATCTGTGTGCATGTCTTTCATCAATCAGAGGATTGCAAATGATGGTTTTGCATTTTCCACAATTTCATAGCCCCTGACAGTGAAAAGGTTCACAGTCATTGGACTTGCTATTTCTCAGAAGTTTGGTACTGGTTAGTTGTGGTTGCTTTGTTGTATTAAACCAAAGCCTCATCAATCATGTTGAGGTGGTCTTCTTTGTCTGGCCCTTGTTCTTCAGCCATGCTACAGGCAGTTCGAGCCCTGATGATCGTAGGCATCGTCCTGGGGGCCATTGGCCTCATAGTGTCCATCTTCGCTCTGAAGTGCATCCGCATTGGCAGCATGGAGGACTCCGCCAAAGCCAACATGACTCTGACTTCCGGGATCATGTTCATCATTGCAGGTAAACAAGGAGCCTGGGGCTCCCTCTCTCAAATGCGCATCCAGGAATGTCAAGCAGAATCATTCTGGCAGAGGAAACACAGTTTCTCCCTACTGAGCTTGGTTTGAACATGGATCAGAGCTTCACACACTGGGATTCAAGATCTGAGATTAAGGCTCAATTACACTCTACAGATTTATCATGAGTACTAAGGTCCCTCTTAGCTGCCACCCTCGTCTCAGTATAAGAGATTCTCAACTCTAAGGCAGTCATGTGACTCAATCCCTAAAGGCATTATTTTGGTGAGTCTTTAGAAAATGACTTTAAGGGAAGAGCTCTTGACACCATCAAAGGACGAAGCCCCAAATATCTGTACTATTGATTCCTGGTCCCAAGATGGAAAATCTCTTTCTGCACACATACAAATCCTTCCACAGCTAGAGAGACAAGAGAGTGTAAGCACCTCACACAATGTCTAGCTCACAGTGAGAATTCAATAATCGGTGCTTGGGTTGACCATCCTGTTACAGGAGTGGGATATTCTAAATGCAGCCTGCTCATCTGAACTCATGTCAACACACATTGTCTCAGAAACAACACAATCCCTTTAAAGCTGACTCCAGAGCTTTCTCGTTCTTTGCCTGCAGGTCTTTGTGCAATCGCTGGAGTGTCTGTGTTTGCCAACATGCTGGTTACTAACTTCTGGATGTCTACAGCCAACATGTACACCGGCCTGGGTGGGATGGTGCAGACTCTTCAGACCAGGTAACCTCCTAGTCTAGTCTCAGTAGTCCGGTGAAAATTGTAAAAATCCAATGAAACACAAACGCCTAATGTGACTGTCAGCGCCTGAAATAGCAAAAATTTATCAGAGGCAACCACGCCATATCATAAATCAACAATGATCTGTAAATTCATAAGCTTCTATCCTTGGTGATATGACTTGAGGCTGATCTGACATTTGCATTGAAATACAGCGACAGTTCACAGTATTTATCTAACACTCTTACACAGGCCCCTTTGTGGGGGCAATGAAACAGGCACTATTAACCCAAGCATGTAAATGAACATCAACCCACGTCTCCAGTCCATGACGGGAACCTGGCTAGGGACAGGGAAAAGCTTGAACAGAAGTGAGCAAGGTGCGGTATAGGTGAGCGAGGTCATGTTTCTTCCTTGTACAGCTGCTCCATCTCTCATTCATCAATTCATTCATTCTACAAATGTATCAAAACCCTGCCATGAACCAGGAACTCTTCTGAACCAGGATAAAGACAAGGTCCCCATTCTCATGAAGGTTATGGTCTAGCAGAGAGACATGAAACCCCACTGTCATTTGGTGTCTGAAGCAGGATAGAACTTTTAAAAGATGGAAGAGCAATTCCAATACCCATTTTCATTTAGCCACTTCAAAGGGATGTATTTCATAGCAAGAAGCAGCAGCAAATTCCTGAAAGGGAAAGCTCTTTTTCTGAGACAGCAATGTAAATTTTATACCTGAGTGGCCTTTGCGTCATGTACCTAAGTGTGTCTCTGGAGTGGATACGCTTGGTTATTTCTCCAGCAACACCATCATGGGAGGCAGGATGGGAGCATGTGATAAACCCAATAGTCTCTGGCTCCCTGGAACTCCACTCATCATCCTTTTCAAGAATAGGAAAGACATGATCCCCACCAGCTACCCTCCTCCTCCTCTCTGATCTTCCATGGACTCTTGGTTATAAGGACAACTTAGAAGCATGCTGATCAACTCATCCTGGTTTTCCTGGGACATTTCCAGTTTTAGCACTGAAAATCTCATATCCTGGGAAACTCTTCTGTCACAGGCAAATCTGGATGGATGAGACCCTACTTAGAAGAGCCCACCTTATCTGCAGTATCTGGGTGTCTAGTGTCACTACCCCTGCCCAGAGGAGTCACCCACCCACCTGGCAGCCAGCACTAATGCCCACCATCACTCTCTCACACCATCTCCCTAGAACTCACCCCTGTCCCTTGGACAGGCAACTTCAGAGATTTTGTTCTCAGACAATCCTGTTTGGATGTGATTCAGTCCCACTAGAGGCCCCCTCAAAGGGGAAGGGCACCAGCTTTAGAGTCAGATGACCACAGGTTAGAATTCAGTGTGGGCTGGGTCAGAAGCACCATGAGGGTGGGCTCTGTGTCTGTCTTGTTCACCCTTCTCTCCCAGTGCCAGGCATGTAGTAGGAGCTCAGTCAATACTTGTTGAACAAATGAGTAAAGAAACGAATGAAAAACTCTTCACACTTGTTCTTTCTGAAGATAACGCTCCTACCTGCATGGGTGGTGGTCAAGGTTACTTGAGGTAGGAAAGATGGAAGTTTCTTGACCCACAGTAAGAACTCAAGAGACTAAAATACCTTCAGAAAGAATAATTTGAGACTGATTCCATATCTCCCAAATTTCCCTTGCTAAACCTTCAAGACACTCCCCTTTGCCAGTAGGGAGGAAAGGGGATTTCCTGAGATGTCTCTCCGAGATTAGAGACTTAAAATTCATTCTATGCCTGAGTGATGCTAGGGGCTCAGAATCCCACCACTGTTTTGCTGACTGACTTCAGTCCCAATTCTATTCTCCAGGGCACCTGATTCAGTTGGCTGTGATCCAAAGGAGCATGTGCTCTGGGGCAGCCTGAGATAGGTGTAGAATCCAAAAGTGAGGACAGAGAGGACGGGCATGGCCAGGAGCAGCGGGTGGAGCCTGGAGAGTTGAGTCAACCACATTCACAGCCCCCGTCTCCCCACCCAGGTACACTTTTGGTGCAGCCCTGTTTGTGGGCTGGGTCGCCGGAGGCCTCACGCTAATTGGAGGCGTGATGATGTGCATCGCTTGCCGGGGCCTCGCGCCGGAGGAAACCAGGTGAGTCTCCCCATCCTGATGCAATCAGACGCTTGATCCAAGTCCATTTTAACATATAATTTGCAACCAGAATGATCAGCGTAGGTGTATGGAAGAAGTTCATTGACAAAAGGATCATGTACCTTCTTGTCCATAGGGAATGCAAAGAACAGAATAGGACTATTTCAGCCTGAGCAGACTTAGAAGTGATCCTATTAAAGGGAAAACCAGCCCTCTAAAAGGCAAATCAAACTACAGTGAGGTATCACCTCACACCAGTCAGAATGGCCATCACTAAAATGTCCACAAACGACAAATGCTGGAGAGGGTGTGGGGAAAAAGGAACCCTCCTACACTGCTGGTGGGAATGCAGTTTGGTGCAGCAGTTATGGAAAACAGTATGAAGAGTCCTTAAAAAACTAAAAATCCCATGATCCAGCAATCTCACTCCTGGGCATAGATCTGGAGGAAACTCTAATTCAAAAAGATACATGCACCCCAACGTTCTCAGCAGCACTATTTACAATAGCCAAGACATGGAAGCAACCTAAGTGTCCATCAACAGATGACTGGATAAAGATATGGTGTATATATATATATATAATATATATATATATATATATATATATATTTTGCAATGGAATACTATTCAGTCATAAAAAGGATAAAAATAATGCTATTTGCAGCAACATAGGTAGACCTGGGGATTGTCATTCTAAGTGAAGTAAGCCAGAAAGAAAGAAAAATACCATATGATATCACTCATATGTGGAATCTTAAAAAATGACACAAATGAACTTATTTACAAAACAGAAGCAGACTCACAGACATAGAAAACAAACTTGTTGTTATCAGGGGGAAAAGGGGAGGTGGAGGGATAAATTGGGAGTTTGGGATTTGCAGGTACTAACTACTGCATATAAAATAAACAGCAGGGTCCCACTGTAGAGCACAGGGAACTATATTCAATACCTTGTAATAGCCTATAATGAAGAAGAATATGAAAAGGAACATTTATATATGTATAACTGAATCACTATGCTGTACCCCAGAAATCAACACAGCATTGTAAACTGACTATACTTCAATTTTTAATAAAATAAAAACAGAAAGAAAAAAAAAACCCAGCCCTCTAGGCTCCCTCTGATTCCAGTATTTTGTAACTCAGTGGTTCTCAACTTGGAGCAATTCTGTGCCACCCCAGGAGGTGGAGGCCAGGGATGCTGCTGAACATCCTGCAAGGCACAAGGCAGGCCCCCACCAACTAGAAGCACCCGTTCCAGAATGGCAGTAACACTGCTGCTAGGAGAGCCCACTTTGCCTCCATAACTGGGCCTGGGGTTGGGAGACCTGGACCAGTCTGTTTCTACTGCTAACCAGCCCTGTGACCTCTACCTGTCTTTGCCCTCTCTGGGCCTGTGTTACCTCATCCACACACTGAGCAGATTAGGGAGGATGGGCTTCACATCGGTACCTCCCAGCTCACAGATTCTACGATTCTTTGGCATCACTATGTTCCCCTGGACGTTGTTTCTGGTTCAGCTTCATCTTAATTGATTAACAGAGGGAACTCACTAGTCACTAGCTACCAGCTCTAATACAAAGCAAGAAATTCTGCTCCACTGCCGAGGCAGAAAATCCAGTGTTCCCAAAGCCCAGGGAAGCAGCTGACTGAGTTTGCCCAGGACTAAGGGTTTCCTGGAACACTGGACTTCCAGTGCTTAAAGTCAGACATCCTAGGATAAATGGGTGCTTTGTCCCCCTACCAAATACGTCTATAGTCATGGACTGTTTCTTTTTCTTTCAGTTACAAAGCCGTGTCTTACCATGCCTCGGGCCAAAATGTCGCCTACAGGCCCAGTGGCTTCAAAGCCAGCAGTGGCTTTGAGTCCAGCATGAAAAACAAGAAGATATATGATGGTGGTGCCCGCACAGAGGATGAGGGACAGTCTCATCCTTCCAAGTATGACTACGTGTAGCTCTCCGAGACACCTCAGCATGGGCATAAGAAACCACCTCTTCCATTAGAGCTCACCCAAAAAGACAAGGAAATTTTACCTTGATTCCCGATTGCTTGTGACTCGCAGTCGGAAGTTAGAAAGCCTTGATTTCATCTGTGGTGCAGCCAGATGGTCTTAGCCACTGGTCTCTTGTCTCTACATGTTTTATCACAAAACAACTGAGTTATCAGATGTGCGTTAGAGGTGATAGCCCGCATTTTCCAATCCTCTTACTCCCTTTTTTTTTTTAAATATAACCTTTTAACCTGATGATAGAATGTGGTTTGAATTCCTATCAATCACTTAGATAATGTAGACAGACAATCCCTTCTCCTTCCAGCCAACAGCCCATTATGATCTGTTTCCCAGCTCATCCCCCAGAACAATTTGGAAAGGAAAAACAGAATCAATCAAAAGACATCATTTTCTGCTACTTGATTTTGCCCCCCTCCCACCCTAATTTGGCTTCTAATAAAAACACTGAAGACAAGGTGACAAGGGAAAGATATTTCCCATCTCTCCAGATCATTATCTGAGTTTTCTTACACTGTGATCTTGAACATGACTTGGACCAAAGTGATTTCAGTTTGAGGAAAGCAGACTTTTCCACTTCTGCTAACATCTGCTAATTCCAGCTGTACTCTCCCAGGAGTTTCCTGGGCTCGCCACCGCAGGTCCTCTTTCTGTCACAGCAAAAAGTGTCCCTAGAGGAATGAGAAAAGGATTTTTTTCTTTCTCTCTCTCTCTCTTTTTTTTTTTGTAATCTAAATATATTTGGTATTCTAAATATAGTTAGAATAAATATGTATTAGTGAAATGATACACTGTGTCTGTGAATTAGCCTCACCCCTGCACATGAATAGAAGGAAATGAAAAAATAATTGCTTTGATGTTGTCTATATTATACTTTGTAAAATCACATTTAAGTCTGAATTTCATGAAATGCTCACTGATCCTAATTCTTTCCCTTTGAGGTCTCCTGGACTCTGATTATAGATGATAGAATCAGTGTAATCCGTGTAAAAACCACATGATGGAACACAGCAGGTCCTAAGAAGTAAGGACCTGAAACTACTTCTTAAAAAAAAAAAAGTGACAATGAGCCTGAGTGGAATGTAATGTTTCCAGGTGACACACTTACATGGCTACACTGTTAGTTGAGAGCAGCACTTGCTGGGCACTGTGGTCAACTCTGTGACCCTGAGACTGCTCTTCCCTTCACTAAATTCACCTAGAGTGGTTGGACCATTGGATGTTCAGGAACTGGAAGCTCTCTGCAGCCACGCACCTTCCTGTGTTTGCATCACTGCTGCAGAGAGCCTAGCCTCCTTATTCCAGGCCACCAGAATCCTGCCCCAGCACCAGGGCCAGAATAGCCCCTCCAGTGAGGTAAGGGCAGTCTCTCAACACTACCTAGGCAGAGAGCAGCCCTGGCACGAGGGGAATCTGACCACTGGGTTACTATCTGAGGGGGCAAGGTCTTCACAGCAATAGTGCGTGTGAAAGTGGCCCCCAAGGAGATGGTGAATATTCATTGGGGTCTTCGAGCTGGACAGACTCTGTCTGGGGAAAAGACCAGATCACGGCTCATTAAATAGAAAAGAACTGTGTTCACTAACAACCAAAACAGTAACTCAGAGACCCTGGTCACTGAGGCAGCAATGGTTTTAGGCCAAATCAGACAAAATTACTCACGAAACTCTTTGTCTAAGATGGGGTAAATGATGAACAGATAAATCAAGAAAAAATTGGGGGTGGAAGTAGAGAAATCTGAGCAGTCTAGGACATGGAGATTGTTAAGGGGTCTCAGGATTTGAGTTGAAGACCATGGGCACAGCGAGCTCTCCCTCCCATCACCAGAAAGTCCCTGGTCAGGTCGGAGGCACTGAGGTGTGGCTCGATTGGGTTTTTAATGTACACATTCTCTATCCAACACTTAATTGTTTGAAAGCCTCCATGTAGTTAGAGTGTGCTTTGTAATTGTTTTTGTTGCCCTGTCTTATTGTATATGCATTGAGTATCGACCTGTTTTGTTACTTACATATTAAAGATACTGTTATCTCACATTTGAACAACTTCTGCTGTTTTTCCCAAAGTTTCGGGAAGTGGAGGTGGGAGTCTCAGTACCTCAAAGCTGAGGGCATCTTCCCAGAGTGTTTCTGTTTGCAGAATCTGTGTCTTCTCGGCAGCAGTCTGGCTGCCTGGCGGCCAACTAGGTCTGCTCCAGGCCAATTAGTAGTTCCTGCAAGTTAGGAAACTTAAATAAAAAGGGATTCCCAGAGTTTCCAGGCATCCGAAAACCAGTTTTAGCCTGTCTGACCCTGAGTGCGCCAGCCTGAAGTATCTGTAGTCGGTCAGCGCAAGAGCTAGGAAAACAAGACAGCCAGTGCCTGTCCTCATGAGGATGTCAAAGGCCAGCTTGAACGGCTCATTTAGCCGTGCTCAGTGAGGCTGCATCAGACTATAGAAAGAACATGAGCTACAGAATCAGAGCATCCCACCTCATTTCCAGGCCCCATCACTTCCCAGCTGTGTTAGCTTGAGCAAAGCCCTTAACCTTTTTGAAGCTCAGTTTCCTTATCTTTAGAATGGGGATAATATGGCTAAGGGACTAAAACAAACAAAAGATCTATTTAAACAACAAACACTCAACTTGAGCAATTTTAAGACAAACAGGGACTTGATTTGTGTAAGCAGGATATGAGGCCAAGGTTAGATCCTTGGATCAAGGGATATGATCAAGACTGCCGTTTTCTCAGTTCTGCTTTCCTTGCAGTTGGTGTGCTTCTCAGGCAGGTGGTCCCCACAGGATAGCAGTGATGGCTACTCATATTTCCAGGAACAGGCCATCTTTCAGCTAGGCAAACTTGTAAAAAGAAGGTCTCTCTTTCCTGCTATCTGTAGGAGAAAAAAAAAATCCTGATAAAACTTATTGGACTATTGGAGTCATGTATCCATCCCTAAACTTCTTCCTATAGCCAGAGCAATTGTACTTCGCTTGGCCACACCTGAGTGCAACAGTCAAAACATGGGGATTTGCCATAAATCACAAAGACTGTAAGCTAAGGACCCAGAGTCCCTAGCAATCAGGCAGACTCAACACTTTGCCTAATTTTTATACATTTGGCTGAATTCCAAGAAAAGCCTCAGAGGCACCACCTCTGAACTTCACTGTCCATTTACCCAATAGCACAGCATTTACAGTACAGAGAGGGACAACCTGAGAGACTACTTTTGTTCTCACAGGAAACTGATAATTACAACCTAAAACTGGCCAAAACAAAACAAAACCCTTCACATTCCATTCTACACAAGTGGAATTACCAAACAGGAGAGCAGAAAACTGTCCTCAACTACATAATTTTGAGCTATTCAAACTTAGATTTCCTGAAATTAGGGATATTTTGAAGGCTCTGTGCAAAGAGAGGGGGAATCAAGTCATAATGTACATGCTCAAAATACGACTCATCACTCTTCTCCATAACAATCCCTCAGGAATCCCGAGGAGCTGGTCGGTGGGTGTTTTGCCGTCATCCACCCCGAGGTCCAAAAGAAAGGTTTCCATGGGATGCCCAAATATTTCACTCTTTGCTTGGGTGATATTCAGCTCCATCCTGCCTCCACAGACATTACACAGGGTGAGCAATGGCAAGGATCACAATTTTTGCCAAAGTGCCTGGCCTCTCAGAGTTGGAGCATTTCACTAGAGAGAGTCCTGGAGTTAGAATCCTGCCCTTAAGGAAACCAGAGCGTCTGGTCCCAACTCCGCAGCCAATCAGTTGTGGGACCTTGAAGGATCAATTACAGTGATTCACCAACATATTTTCATTATTTTGCTTCTTTACTGAATCCTTGTCATCATGAGTACTGCGTTCAGTGCCTTACAATGCTTTATCTCTAATCCTCCAACAACCCTGATCTCCCGCCACTAACCTCCATCCTGTGCTCAGTCTAACTGAGTGGCCGGAAGCTCCCAGACACTTGTCAAGGACCACAGTTGCGCAAACGCACACTCACAGACACTCACACTCACTCAGCCATATTTCTGAATCCTCAACAGCGACCAACCTCTTTGATTTTTCAATTCTCAGGCTTCTGCTGATGCCTCAGAACTTTGAACAATTCCGTTTGTCCAGCTGAAGCCAGGATGACTTATCATTCATCCGATCCACATGTCGTACAGACGAAAGGGATTATCTTCTTCAGAACAGCCTAAAGCAACATGAAGTGAGCAGAAGAGGGATTAGGAGTGGAGAGTAAACAGCGGTTCCTTTTGGTTTAATATTAAGTGCAGGATACTATATTGTGGAGAAAAAAGTCACTAAAATTCTTTAACAGTATTTAATTCCTATCTTGGAGCAAAAGTATTTAATTTAGATACAAAAAAAGGAGGGTCTAACAGTGGTGGGTTTTAATAGGCATACCACCTCAACACTCAATGCTAAAGGCAGCTACCTAATGGTCAAGTAAGATGAAATCTCTTAGCCACCCCTACGATAGAGGGCTGCTAAAAGGAATCAGAGATTTCTAGGGGGAGGGTGTAACTCAAGTAATGGAGCGCATGCTTAGCATGCATGAGGTCCTGGGTTCAATCCCCAGTACCTCCTCTAAAAATAAATAAATAAACTTAATTATCTCCTCCACCCCCCAAAAAAAATTTTTTTTAAGAAATCAGAGATTTCTTCCTTGGAGAACCTTTCAGGGAAAGTTGGGTCCTACTTGGAGATAAGGAACATACAAATCCCTTCTATAGAGAACATCATACTTTGTCTTATCTTTTAACTTAGATTTGGGGGGGAAATGTAAAAATAATGTAATAGCTAACAAGAAAGAAGGCTAAAAATATTTGTCCTTTAATCCAGCAATTCTCTTTTTATCATTTCCCCTAAGGAAATAATCATAAATATTTCTGCCCAAAGATATGTATCAATAGTTTAGAATAGTGAAACTGGATCAACCTGAAATCCAACTAAATAAATAATAGTTTATACGTGTAAACTAATAGACACCCATTAAATTAAGATTTTTTGAGATATTAATTCTTTTAAATAGTGCATTGAAAAATGCCCTGGAAAGAAATATATTCCAAATATTTTAAAGTGGTTGCTTTTAAAGTGATATGATTCTTTTTCTTTATTTATACTTTTTAGTACTTTTCAAATTTTCTTCTATGAGAATGTCTTCATTTTATATCCAGAGGAGAAAAACAAAACTAAGAACTTACAGAGAATCAGAAACTTGAAAATAGTAATGAATAATATTATGGTAAATAATAAATAATATTATGGTAAATTTTATGTTATGAGTTTTTTTACCTCAATTTAAAAATGATAATAACATCCCAGCAGGAAATCCACAAGGGCCGGTGCAGCCAGTTACCTGGAGACCTGACCGTCTCAGGCAGGTTGGCAGAAGGGAGCTGATAAGTCCTGGCTACGAGTAGAGCTCTCTGTTTATTCTGAACCAATAAAATAAAACACTCACAAGCCCAGAAACTGACCTCTATGGTGCTGTTTAGTTTTTCTCCCCCTTTGGAGAGCCTCTGGCGTTTATTTCTCTGCTTCAGCCCCTCTACTCATCCTTGAAGATGGGAGAGCAGAAACCCACACTCACAAAGTGGACAAGGACCAGCAGAGAGTCAGGGGAGCCAGAACAAACGTTGGAGTCCACACCCAGGTTTAACCTCTTACTTTCCCCCCAAGGCCACACTTTCCCACTTCACTGGCCTCCCCAGTCTCCAACTTCTTTTTCTGGACGGAAGGGCCAACCCAAAACAGCCAGGAGAGCTTGCTGTGGGGTCGGGTGACCTCATGTAGGCAGGTGGCCCGGACCTCCACTCCCCTGTGTAGAGCAGACTCCCAGCTCCCAAACCTTCATTTCCTGGAACACATCAGACCCGCATCCAGTAAAGAAGGGGCTGGTGAAAGCCATGTGTCTTGTATGTGCAGAGGAAGACTGTAGGGGCCTTAATGAGTTCCTCAAGGTTTCGAAAGGATAATCTGGATCTCAGTTGGTGTGCTACCCTAAGACTCCACTCAGAGATGTTAGGAAGCAAGCAAGATTTAGTAGCTTTTTTTCTAATTAGGAAAAGCAACGTTTTAGAAACCTAGACTTCCATTAAAATGAAGAAAACAAAATAAACTCCCCTCTCCTGAACAAACGTTAGAGATTAAGATAAAAGCGTCAATGGCAGAAATGAATGATGGTGAAAGATCACTCTGAGGCTTAAAAAATACAGAAAATTACTAATATTAGTATTGCTATCATTATCATCTATTGAGATCTAGTAGATCAGTTTCAGGCCCTTCTTGTTCACTAGTTCCAATCCTCAAAATAACCCACGGAACAGGTATTATTATCCTCATTTCACAGATGAAGAAAGTAAGGCTCAGAGAGGCAAAATGTCTTGCCTAAGTAAGGCGATCAACTGTCCTGGTTTGTCCAAGACTGTCCTGGGTTTAGCACTGAAAGTCTTGCCTTCCAGGAGAACCCTCAGCCCTCAGCAAACTAGGACATCTAGTCACCCTATGTCAAAACCACATAGCTAATAGAAAAGCATGAATTCCAGTCAAGGCTTATCTGGCTCCATGCCTCACTCTCTTTCCACTATGCTAGAGTGAATCCCACTAAAATACATACATACATACATACATACATACATAGAAAGGGGAGAAGGAAGAAGGAAGAAAAGAAGGAAATCTACTTTAAAGGAAAAAGCATTTGTCTACGAAACCAAAAAACATAATACTTAAAACAAAACATACTGTTAAATTTCAATCTTTAATTCTCAAGTTTAAAAAAATGTCAAACAAGAGGAAATCTATTGTAAATGGTGGACAGACAGATGGACGGGGTGGGGGCGGACATCAGGCTAGCTGGTCCCTCTGAGCTGACACGTTCAGCCTCTGCAAAACTCTCAGTGAGCTGTGTGGCATGGATGTACATGTCAGCGCTTCCAGGCTAAAGAGGGCTGGGGTGTGAAGCCACCCAGAGGGTCAGGGAAAGGTCCAGGGCTGCCAAGATGCACTGTCCGCAGGTGAAACCCGATCCCTCCAGTGGTAGCAGCCAAACGCCACCCAAAGACCACAGAGATCGGGTGTGAGCTGAGGCTCATTTCATCTCAGCAATAATCTTAGGTTTGGACTCCCCAGCACTCTGGGATGTGAGTCAGTTTCCCTCACCATCAGGAGTTTTTTCCATTCCTTTCTTGTCTCAAGTGGAGCTGGATGTGACCTACTCACTCTGCTCTCATTTTTGTGACCAGTCCAGGCTTTTGCTGTTATCAAAGCTGCCGCCCTTAGCCCTTGTTGACAATAAAAGGCTTATTTATCTTGTTCAACAAGCCAACTTGAATTTCCCCAAAGAACTTTTTGAAAGGTAAAATATCAAACATATTAATCATCTAGGACGTTGCCACCCATACTCATTGCCCAGAGGAGGACAGTTGCCATGGCAATGGCTCTGGTAAAGAGGATGGAGTCTGGCTGAAGGGTGAATAAAATACCATAATGGGGCACAGACTGCCCAGCCAGCCAACTCCTTATGATACTGGGAGTGTTTGCCCAAGTCTTAGGAGTTAAGTCATAATTAGGAGAGCGTGACAAAAAGAAAAATGTCCAGCAAACATTTTGAAGGGTGAGGGTGGGAAGGTCGAATGCAGATAGAAATGATGTGAAAACCAGTGGTGGGTATGTGACTGTGTCTTCTCCTGAGGGCTGGCAGACCCCTCCCAACAGTAGCCCTTGTGCAGACAGACCAGTCCAATCCATCTGCAAGTGGGCACAGCCAATGGGACAGAAAGAAGCCAGTGAAGGGTTCACTGGAAAGGTGGTGTCAGAATGACCCTCACGGCCTCTTTGGCAACATACTCCAAGTTGCTACTTGGTTCATTCTCTGTGACCAAGTGGTCCCATTCCTGGAAATCTGCCAAAAAGAAAGCATCCTGACTCTAATTTAAAAAAAAAAAACAGCTGTGTTTCTATGGCTAAGGGAGCCATCACCTGAAGGATGGCATGCAGAAAATGTGAAAAGAAACTTGGTACTGTTATCATGCCAGGTACATGTCTTCCCACGTGCAAGAAATGCCATCCAAAGTGGTGAGAGAAAGTCAAACAAAAATAAATCTCTGTACAAAACAGAAACAGATTCACAGATGTAGAAAACTTATGGTTACCAAAGGGGAAACGTACAGGGAGGGATAAATTAGGAGTTTGGGATTAGCAGATACAAACTACTATATATAAAATAGGAAAACAACAAGGTCTTACTGGATAGCACAGGGAACTGTATTCAATAGCTTGTAATAACCTATGAAGAAAAAGAATACAAAAAAGAATACATATGTAACTGAATCACTATGCTATATAGCAGAAACTAACACAACATTGTAAACCAACTAGACTTCAATAAAATAAATAAATAATAAAACTTTGACTTCTAAAAAAGCAAAATTCAATCCATATGGAGAGAATAAATCCTCCACTTGCAGAAGCAGTAAAAGTTCTGTGCACCAACCAGGTTTTCATTACTACCAGGGCTGTGCCTAGAAAAACAGCATCTATGCAACATGAGGAAAAAGGGCTTTAGATACCAAAAGCCACCAGCAAACATCTGTCTGGATATATTGATGAAGTTGCTGGCTTTCTATATGATTTTATTTTCTGCTTGGACTTTTCAAAGGATAACATAGAAGTTCAAATTGGAAAATAACATGTCTTAAGACAAATAATGAAAGCAGAGAAGCTGATAAATATTCATTCTTTTGCTCTCAAGAAGTTCTGAACAGCAGCAATGTAACTAGTCTTCTGCCTTAAATAGTTACTTTCCTTATAAGCATTGTATTGAATGGCAATAAATTAAGTGGCAAATTTAATAGAAAAAATTTCCTGGTTTATATGCATATTTGATTTAACATTTTCATATAATTCTTATTATATGAATAATTCTTTTATCCTCTCCCTCTATTTTATTTATAGATATTGCAGCTGTGAGCAGATTATTATCATTTTTGCTAAAATTCTCCCCTTATTCCCTTGTTGGTCTCATAGTTCTTCAAATCAGCAGTCCCTTAATTAATTGTAGTTTCACAGACTACTTTAATATCTGAGACCATTATTGCTAAATGGTTCCTTTGTAATCAGCCCTTCCTAATCAGTCCAGATCCAACTCAAACACAAGTTTTATTTATGATTTTTCAATTTGTTCTTGAAGCC